CTGACAGATGGCCATCTAGCCACAACAATAATAATAATAGCAACAACAACAGCAACAACAATGGTATAGTTGGAAGAGACCCTCAGGGGCCATCTAGTCCAACCCCCTCCTGCCTTCAGACAGAAAGCACACAATCAAAGCACCCCTGGCAGATGGCCATCTAGCCACAATAATAATAATAATAGCAACAACAACAGCAACAACAATGGTATAGTTGGAAGAGACCCTCAGGGGGCATCTAGTCCAACCCCCTCCTGCCTTCAGACAGAAAGCGCACAATCAAAGCACCCCTGGCAGATGGCCATCTAGCCACCATAATAATAATAGCAACAACAACAGCAACAACAATGGTATAGTTGGAAGAGACCCTCAGGGGGCATCTAGTCCAACCCCCTCCTGCCTTCAGACAGAAAGCGCACAATCAAAGCACCCCTGGCAGATGGCCATCTAGCCACAATAATAATAATAATAGCAACAACAACAGCAACAACAATGGTATAGTTGGAAGAGACCCTCAGGGGGCATCTAGTCCAACCCCCTCCTGCCTTCATGCAGGAAAAGCACAATATTTATTTATTTATTTATTTATTTATTTATTTAAAGCATTTACAATAAAAGCACCCCGGGCAGATGGCCATCCAGCTTCTGTTCTAAAAGCCCCCAAAGAAGGATCTTCAGAGAGTTCCACTGATGAACATCTCTTCTTACCACCAGGAAGTTCTTTCTAACAACGTTGGGGGGGAATCTCCTTCCTTTCCCGTCCCCTGAGCCCACTCCTCCCTTGAGTCCTGCTTTCCGGAGCAGCAGAAAGGGAGCCCCCTCCCCCTTCCTTAGGACATCCTTTCACACACTTCCACTACCATGTCCCCTTCTCTCAGCCTTCTCTTCAGTCGAAGTGTTCAGGGTCATCCCTGCCCAGCGAAGCTTTTAAGTGGCTGTGGAGCCAAGGCTGCGCGATGGCGTGTCTCCTCCACAAAGGCCTGTGTGAGCGTCTCCGTGCGGACGGCTTTGTGTGCCTGCCCGGGAAGACCCCTCCACTGCTGCCGCCGTTGCCGCCTCTCATCCCGAGTCCCTTCTCTCTTTTGTGTCCTTCCCAGATCCCAACGCGGTGATGCCTGAGCAGCTGACCACCAGCCGGCCCAGCAAGGAGGCGGACAACACCGTGAAGATCGCCACCCAGAGCCCCCGGCACAGGCCCCCCTCCGTGGGGGAGGACCCCGGGAAGCCAGGTAGAGTCTTGCGCCCGGATCCGGGCAGAACACGAAAGGAAGCGGACTTCTGCATGCGCCCCGCCCTCCTGCACTCTCCTCCAATCCATGTCTCCGGCCCTGCATGCACCCCGTGTGTCCTGTACTCTCCTCCCGCCCATGATAACGGCAGCCAAGGAGGGGAAGGCGGTCCCGATCCCTGGACGGCCGTGGAAGTCGTAATCTGGCTCCCGGAGAGGCTGGGGCCGTTGCCGGTCCTTGCAACCTGCCGGGTGGCCCTTAAGCCTCCGCTGCCCGGCCTGCCCTCCAGCAACACGTTCCTTGCATGCTCCCAAACCCACCTGGACCCTTCCAAGGACAAGAATTTGTGCTCTGTAAGAAAGAGAAAGCAGAGATCCTGGGGAGAATGCGGCCTGGTGAGAATACCCTCGGAGCGCATGAGGAGATTGTGGCATGGCCCCCAAAGCAGACCCCTGGAGACCGGACCGGCAGCTGGCAAAAGCTTTCGGGGGGGCCTTCCTGTGCCGCAGTCTCCTGCTCTTCTTGTCGTCGTGGTTTACGTTGTTGTGTGCCTTTGAGGCGTTTCTGAGCAGAAGGAGCATGTGGCTCGGTTTCCTTGAGAGCATTTGCTCATAGCGAGTTGGCCTCTGCCTTCCTCTGAGGCTGAGAGAGTGTGGCCTTTGTCCAGGTTGACCCAGTGGGTTTCCTCAGCCAAGAGAGGAGTCTCCTGAGCCCGGTACCTGCAGGATTGGCACCCGTGGGTCGCTAAGGTTGGGTTGAAAGATGGCGGGCGCTTTCGAGGAAGCTCTGTGTTTCCTTGGTGCGTGAGTCGCGTGTGCGGAGGGGCCACGCGGTGTTTGCGCCACTCGCTCGCTGTCCGGCTTTGTGGGATTGCCCGCCAGCCCTGACCGGTCCTTCTCTCCTTGTCCTGCAGATCCCGTGAACCAGGACGGGGCAGGGGACGCGCAGAGCCCCACGGACGGCTTCTTCAGCTCGAAGGTGGCGGTCTTTGCGGCCATCGGGGCCGGGTGCGTCATCTTCATCCTCATCATCATCTTCCTGGTGGTGCTCCTGATCAAGATCCGGAAGCGGCACCGCAAGCACACGCAGCAGCGGGCCGCCGCCCTCTCGCTCAGCACGCTGGCCAGCCCCAAGTGCGGGGGCGGGGGCGGCCCCGGGGGCAACGCGGGCTCCGAGCCCAGTGACATAATCATCCCTTTGCGGACTACAGAGAACAACTACTGCCCGCACTACGAAAAGGTCAGCGGGGACTACGGGCACCCGGTCTACATTGTGCAGGAGATGCCCCCGCAGAGTCCCGCAAACATTTACTACAAGGTCTGACCGGGGTGGCCCCCCCACCCATAAGAGGAAGAGCAACGGAGGCAGGATGGACGGAGGAAGAGGGGAAGGCGCTCACGGGAGGGGACCCGGCGGCTTTCCTCCTCAGGAGCGAGCTTGCCCCGCACAGAGAGAGAGAGCGCCCGGCCCCCGCCAGCGGCAAAGGAGGCCCCAAAGGCACGGCAGGGCCCTCCGACTCCTAGTATTTAGTTTTGTAGTCTGGAGCTTTTTTAATCCTAAGACTTGTGGAGGGGGGAGGGGGAGGAGGAGGAGGAGGCCAAGATGGAGTCGACGCCTGAGGAGGTTGCCCCCTCGTTCCCCCTCCTCTGACTCCCGACCCCTCCCCGACCCCCAGCACGTTCCGCGGCCCCTTTGCTTGGGCTTGGTGCCTTTCCTCACTCAACTCGGACACGTCCGGCGGTGCCCTCCTCCTCCGCCCGGGGGGCGATCCGCCGCCGCCACCACCATAGTCATCCATCACCATCGCCACCTCCACCGTTGCGGCCGGCTTTCCTGGGGCTGCCCCACCTGCGCTCATTGTTATGTTTTCAAGTATTTGTGGGGAGGGGGCATTGCGGGGGGAGGGGGGCTGTGCCATGTTGTGTTGGTTAAGGGGACGGAGCTGGCCAGTGGCCCAAGGAGCACAGAGAGGCATGGAGCCCGGAGGAGGAGGAGGAGGAGGAGGAAGGGCGCTCATGAAGACAAGGAAGCGGTCAGTCCAGCCCACCTTCCTCGTTTGTTATTTTGCAATATTTCTTGTTTTGTATTTGTTTTTCTCCAGCCGAGGAACATTGGAAAGCTCTGAGTCCCGGATACCCCTCACGTAGGCTTCTCCCTCTCCCTCTGCCACTGGATTGTTGAAGGCTCTCAGGGTCGTGCGGTTCCCGGGCTGAATGGCCAGTGTCTTCAGGAAGCATTTCTCCTTTTTGCGTCTTGCTCCATCTGTGGCCACTGGCATCTTCAGAGGATCTGAAGGAGGTCGAGCAAATATATATATATATATATACACACACACACACACACACACACACACACACATACATACACACACACACACACACACACACACACCTGTGGAATAATGTCCAGGATGGGAGGAAAGAACTATTGTCGGTTAAACTAGTGTGAATGGTGCAAATAGCAAGCTAGCGTGGGATCCACCCATTAGCGTGCGAGTCGGGCATCTGCATAGAAGTAGCCTGGCCTTTGTTCCCTTTGAATTGCTTGCTGCCTTGGAGACATCCTTAGCCCAGGACTCCATGATGGCGAACCTAGGACACGTGTGTCAGCACTGACACGCGTAGCCATTTTCGATGACACGCAGTCGCATGCGGCCGCATACAGAGACGATGGGTCCGCATCCCAAGAAGGACATTTCATGCTCGGCTCCTCCACCAGCATTTTTCTGTAATGCCGAGATATGTGGCATTATAGAAAAAGCAGGGAAGCTAAATAATTAGTTTTTGGTTTATTAAATACAGTTATATATTACAATAATAATTTTTTGTTATTAAACTATAAACATCATGAAATTATAGTTTTTTTTCTCAAAGTGACACCCCACTCGAGTTATGCTTGGTTTTTTGGCGAGTATTGACACACCAAGCTCAAAAGGTTGCCCATCATTGGCCAAGGTGGTGCTCACTAGCCCTTGGTTGCTATAATAATAATAATAATTATTATTATTATAGAAGTAGCCAGGTATTTCTTCCCTTTGAATTGTTTGCTGCCTTGGAGATATCCTTAGCCTGGGTGGTGCTCACTAGCCCTTGGTTGCTATAATAATAATAATAATTATTATTATTATAGAAGTAGCCAGGTATTTCTTCCCTTTGAATTGTTTGCTGCCTTGGAGATATCCTTAGCCTGGGTGGTGCTCACTAGCCCTTGGTTGCTATAATAATAATAATAATTATTATTATTATAGAAGTAGCCAGGTATTTCTTCCCTTTGAATTGTTTGCTGCCTTGGAGATATCCTTAGCCTGGGTGGTGCTCACTAGCCCTTGGTTGCTATAATAATAATAATATTATTATTATTATTATAGAAGTAGCCAGGTATTTCTTCCCTTTGAATTGTTTGCTGCCTTGGAGATATCCTTAGCCTGGGTGGTGCTCACTAGCCCTTGGTTGCTTGCGGCCTGGAGATACAATAATAATAATAATAATAATAACCTCCCTTTGAATTGTTTGCTGCCTTGGAGACATCCTTAGCCTAGGTGGTGCTCACTAGCCCTTGCTTGCTTGCTGACTGGAGACACAATAATAATAATAATAATAATAATAATAATAATAATAATACTATTATTATTATTATAGAAGTAGCCAGGTATTTCTTCCCTTTGAATTGTTTGCTGCCTTGGAGACATCCTTAGCCTGGGTGGTGCTCACTAGCCCTTGCTTGCTTGCTGACTGGAGACACAATAATAATAATAATAATAATAATAATAATAATAATAATAACAACTATTATTATTATTATAGAAGTAGCCAGGTATTTCTTCCCTTTGAATTGTTTGCTGCCTTGGAGATATCCTTAGCCTGGGTGGTGCCCATTGGTCCTTGATCGGTTCCAGCTTGGAGATCTCCAGTGTCCGGGTGGCGTTCATTAGTTACTGTATTGATTCTAGTGTTTTTCAACATTGGTAGCCAAATTTTGTTCATTATAACAGACCATGTCTCCTTCATCTCACCCTAGACATCATTCCACATGTAAACTATATATTCCACTTGATTTACTGCTACCCGATCCTCTGGAGGTGCCCGTGGCCATTGGAGAAACAGAAAAGGAGAAAACGCTGCTAGAACCCATTGGCCATGCCGCCCAGAAAACCATGGAACAACACCCCAGTGATTCCGGCTTCGAAAGCCTTTGAAACTACGACAACTGTTGTTGTTGTTGTTCTTCCCTTTGTGCCCCTCCCCCCTCCCCAAGGGAGACCCCGAGGCTAATTGAGTGACAATCAACGACCTTCTGCATCGTGAGCCCCTTTCCTCCCATTCTCTCACCCCAAACTCCCAAAGTTTGCGTGCGTCACACCCGAAGCCTTACCAGAAGGAGGAGGAGGAGGAGGAGGAGGAGGAGGAGAGCACCCCCGAACCCCTTGCCACACCCCCAGAGCCTTAGCTCCGCCCCTCCAGGCCGAAAGGGCCCCTGGCTCACCCCCATTTCTGTCATAATCCGCTCCTGCAAAAGGCAAGACGGGGCCAAGGCAAGTGTGCTAACGGAGTGCCTTGCGTGGCCCAAACGGCAGCGGTGCATACTCGTATCCTTCCGTTCTGAGGCGCCACTAAGGAGCCCCCTAACGTGGTGCAGTGGGTTGGACCGCTGAGCTGCTGAACTTGCTGACTGAAAGGTTGGCGGTTCAATTCCAGGGAGCAGGGTGAGCTTCTGTTGGTAGCCCCAGCTTCTGCCAACCTAGATGTTTGAAAACATGCAAATGTGAGTAGATCAATGGGAACCGCTTCTGCGGGAAGGTAGCGGCGCTCCATGCAGTCATGCCCGTGGCCACATGACCTTGGAGGTGTCTGTGGACAATGACGGCTCTTTGGCTTAGAAATGGAGATGAGTCGGACGGGACTGGACTTGACGTCAAGGGGAAAGCTTTCCATTGACCTTAAGGTGCTTTGGCTTGTAAGGCGTACTCCCATTTCAGTACCGCTGCCCCCAAAGCATTGCCTATATATGAGACAGTCCCCAGTTGTGGCATAATTTAAGCTAAGGCAGGCAAACGGAGAGCGGGCGAGGGGCAGGGGGCTTCCCTTGACCGCCTTGTTTGGATCACAGCGTCTCCTCCTCCTCCTCCAGCCCTTCCGTTCCCTTTTCTCCATCCCGAAGAAAGACTCTCTTTTTTACTTTGGACTTTTTATTTTGTGTAAATAACTAGTCTTTTTTTTTTCTTTGGGAAAGATTCCATGTCAAGACGGTTTTGTATAAACTCTGGATTGTTTTTTCCCCCCGGTTGCTTTTTGTGTCCCCTTAAGAGAAACAACAACAACAACAAAAACACACACATGGAAAAGGGAAGCCCCTCCTGCATGTTGCGTTTTGCAGATTTGGGTGGCAAAGCGGGGAGGGGGCTGCTTCTTCTTGCATTTGGGTCCATTGCGTGCCTGTGCACAGACCCAGGTTGGAGGGGGGATCAATGGGGGTCAAAGGTCGGGGCGGAAGGTCAAAATGCCTCCGGCCAGAATAGGCTGAGAATCAGAAGGGGTGGGTCGCCATCCTTCCTTGGTTCACCCTCCTCCCTTTGAGAGTCTCCCTTTGTGCCATCCTTTCCGCACTGCAAGAGGACACCCCCCCCCAATCGCCTCCCCATTGCCTCTCTCGGGCCACTTCACCCCACCCCCACCATTGCCTTTCCATGCTGACCAGTGGCTTCCCCTCCCTGCTGCCTTTTTGGTGACTGAGACAATCAATGGAACTGGGTCGCCTCCAAAGGCATCAAGGGAAGGGGGGGCTGTGGTCGTGGGGGCTTGGCTTATTGCGGGGCCACACCCGAGACCCTCGGGCCCTCCTTCGCCCATCCCATCGCTCCCAGTCTCGCGCTCCATCCTCGCTGGATTTTGCTGCCAAGGGCTCAGGGTGTCCTTCCTTCCTTCCTTCCTTCCTTCCTTCCTTCCTTCCTTCCTTCCTTCCTTCCTTCCGGGTTTGGCCAGGACCGCCACGGTGTCGTCATCGCCTCCTTTCCATTCATTTCCATTTTTGGGGCCATTATTCGGTCACTTTCCACCTTTTTTTTGTACACTTCTTTTTGTCCCCGTTCCCACGCCGTCAGTCGTTGCCATCGGTCGCCGAATCAAGACGGGGTCGGAGTTTCCCCCGGAGCCATGATGGAACCTGATATATTGTTAAATAAAAATATTTTTTTCCTATGGAGTTCACTGCCTCGCCTCTTGCTTTATTATTTTTTTTGGACCCTTTGGGGAAATGGGGCCCAAAATGGGTGCAAAGTGGGCGCTGGTCCTTCTAGGACGGGCATGGGCCAACTTTGGCCTTCCAGGTGTTTTGGACTTTAACTCCCACAATTCCTAACAGCCTCAGGCCCCTGCCTTCCTCCCCTCAGCCGCTTAAGCCTTTGTTTACATTCAGAAGGACAAAAGAAGGGACTTCCTTTCATGAGGAAGAACTTCCTGACTGAGAGCCATTCAGCAGTGGAACTCTCTGCCCCGGAGGGAGTGTGGTGGAGGCTCCTTCTTTGGAAGCTTTAAACAGAGGCTGGATGGCCATCTGTCAGGGGTGATTTGAGTGCAATATTCCTGCTTCTTGGCAGAATGGGGCTTGACTGGATGGCCCAGGAGGTCTCTTCCAACTCTAGGATTCTATGATCCTCCAGGTTGAACTTATCTGAGTCCTCCAACATCCTCTCTGCCCCGGGGGGAGTGTGGTGGAGGCTCCTTCTTTGGAGGCTTTGAAACAGAGGCTGGATGGCCATCTGTCAGGGGTGGTTTGAGTGCAATATTCCTGCTTCTTGGCAGAATGGGGCTTGACTGGATGGCCCAGGAGGTCTCTTCCAACTCTAGGATTCTATGATCCTCCAGGTTGAACTTATCTGAGTCCTCCAACATCCTCTCTGCCCCGGGGGGAGTGTGGTGGAGGCTCCTTCTTTGGAGGCTTTGAAACAGAGGCTGGATGGCCATCTGTCAGGGGTGGTTTGAGTGCAATATTCCTGCTTCTTGGCAGAATGGGGCTTGACTGGATGGCCCAGGAGGTCTCTTCCAACTCTAGGATTCTATGATCCTCCAGGTTGAACTTATCTGAGTCCTCCAACATCCTCTCTGCCCCGGGGGGAGTGTGGTGGAGGCTCCTTCTTTGGAGGCTTTGAAACAGAGGCTGGATGGCCATCTGTCAGGGGTGATTTGAATGCAATATTCCTGCTTCTTGGCAGAATGGGCTTGGACTGGATGGCCCAGGAGGTCTCTTCCAACTCTATGATTCTATGATTCATGTTGGATCTTGAGCCGTTCAGCAGTGGAACTCTCTGCCCCGGAGTGT